AAAAAAAAAAAAAAAAAAAAAAAAACCGAAGGTATGTGAAAACGCTCGCATCACAGCTTCTAATGAATGATACTGCTTCGCCCATAACAACGCAACAACGCGGAAAACTTAAACAGCCCGTACACGGTGTATACAACAACATATACTTATAACAATCGTATCGTAAATTTTAAAGGAAGATAAGATCGTCGCATTAGTAATTGAAATTTAAGCAATTGCAAATTAACCCTAAGAGAAAAAAAATAAATTCGGGACTTCAACGGGATTCGAACCCACCGACTGAGTTATGAAGACCTATACATTGGGAGCAGGCCAATTTGTTGAGTTCATCTTAACCTGTGTCGTGAAAGGAATAAAACATAAAATGAAGATCATGTGAAGTGCAGAAATAAAACTTGTGGGCGACGGAAAAGAATATGCCGAAAACGTTAGCGTTGACGCTACACATTTATTTTTTTAATTTTGCCTGACGTCCTTTTTCCTGTATATGGACGTGTTTTGAAATTGAGGTGGGGTAGGGAGGGAGAACTAGCTTTTCATTTGTTTTATAATTATAGCGTAGCGCACACGGGATTAGCCTGTGTACAGACGCTCCTTCCCCTCACTAAAAAAAATCCTTTTTTTACAAAGAGAAGGGGGCTTCTCTACACGGGCTAACACGGGATCAGTAGAGCCCGAATAAAGTAAACAAACACTGAAATATTTCACAACAGTAATCAATAATCACATGTAAAATGCTTTCAGCCGACTGACGTTTACTCTAATGATAACCATTCATCAGTCGCAGAGGACAATAAGACACACTGAATGGAAACCTAGTACAATCAGTTTTCTCTGCCCAATAAATTGATAGAGAGAAGTTCAAGCATTCCAGACTAACATGACGTTGACTTTCGTAGCCTTTGGAACTCTCAAGCATGTTTCCACTTCGTTTTCCATAAATTTGTTTCTCTACAACCCTGGCTTGGGAGAAGCGATGGCTGATAAAAGCTCCTTTCACTCTTTAAGGGTTTGCATGTTAATGCTCATCTGCACATCTCTGCATGAAACAAAACTGGCAAGAGTCCATAAGATATTGTACGGTTGATACAATGGTTACCGGTCGTTTCGATACAAAGTCGTTTCGATACAAGCCGCTTCGATACAAGTTTATTCCTTCGAGGTGTAAATAGTTTCACGTACTTGGCTTAAAGAACGAAGAATATTCGCCCAAAATGATTTTCTTGTTCAATTGCAAACTTTACTTGAAGCGATGGAAATTTTTGTGGAATTTCACTGCCTGAGTTAGTATCAAAACGACTTGTATCGAAACGACTTTGTATCGAAACGACCAGTGTTGAATGCGATTATTCGCTTTCAATCTGCGCAATCTTTTCGAAGAATGGTCGGCCATGAACGCAAGTCCTCGTATCTTCTGGAATCTGATTGGTCATCCGGGAGATTATGTCACTGACTTCGCTTCTACTCATCCGGGAACTCAGGCCTCGAGCCACTCGCACCGCCTCGCCCTACATAAACAAAAATGGAAAAGTGACAGAAAAAAAAAAGTTTAAAACAAGTTGCTTGGGTTAGCTGGCTTCAAAAGCTGAATTTCAGGCTCTGGTCACTGGTCCTTTCTCGTTGCAAATTGAGGAAAGACTACGAAAAAATCGCCCACGGGCACTTTAAAAAGCAAAGACAAAAGCGACTATAGGTTTCTCGATATTTCGGAGGAACAAGCCGTCCTTCTTCAGCCTGCAAAAAAAGTAGTGTCCGATAGCCCGGGGCTAGTGGATTTTGCTATCGGGCTAGTGAAATCTGTTTTTAACTTGCCCAACGGGCAAGTGATGTTCTTTGAGGAATTCGAATAACAGAAGAAGTGTGAAATCAATTCTGCTCGACTAAAAGCTTTTGGGGCTAGTTGAAATGACGTCTGGGCTAGCAGATGCTAGCTTCAGCTTGCCCGAATGGCAAGCTGTAAAAATGATTTTTTTTTTGCACCCTGTTCTCCTTCCGAAATATTGGGAAACCTCAAGTCGCTTTTGTTATTGCAGCTTTGTTTGTATTCTTGTCTTGGGTAAAAGAGCAGGATTTGGTTGTCGTCATTATATATAAAAAGAACTGTTTCTATAGTAACGGCTGAGAATAGGTTGCCGCGCAACGAGAAAGTAAATAAGAGTAAAAAACCGATAAGTTTCATAAGCAAAACAAAAAACAAAAACATTTCTGCACATGCATCACACTTTTTGGTAAACTTCTTTGCTCGTTTCTTGGTTTTCACCAAATGACGTAATGAAAAAGATTGAAAGGACACTGAACAATAGTCACACCACAAAACATTAGCTAACCAACAATGGTTTCCCGCAACACCAAAAAAAACCACCAGAGGTACCTTCTGTTACATTGCTCTTTAAGTTCTGAAGACTATCAGTTCATGTAATCCCACGCAATTTTGCGTTTGATACTTTTGTGTGTTTAACCTAGCCAAAAAGGGATGAGCGTTCTAAACATTTTGAAACATATCTTCTCAGTTTAAACATCGTATTTACAGTGGACTCTCTTGTGATTTCTTTGATTACCTTATTTTTAACACTAATAAGATCGCTTACTGCTAAGCAAACACAAGTTAACTGTAGAAGTGAACTTGAATCCGCAGTGTCAACAAGATAACAAGCCTGTGGAGGTGCTACAAACCTGTAGATAGTGGATAACCTTAAATGGTCTGCAGCTTGTCAAAGAGTTGGAATTACTGTCGCCATTTTGTTGATTCACGAGTTCTAAAATAGAAAACATAGGAAAGAAGAGTGGTCTCTTAAGGTTAATATTCTGAAGGTTTACTGATAATTTTTCTCAAACTTTTCCTATGTGAAATTCAATACAAGTAGACAACAGAAATGAAATAGAAAATGGAGGCCCCCATCATAACTACTGAGAATTGTTGAGGTGAAGGCAACCATCCTCTTGAGGAATTTGTTGTCAATTTATGCTCAATCTTTAAACCCCACTTTGTTAGTTTTCGTAAAGCCAAAAAAACTTTCACCCGAGATGCAAGAAATAGAAAAAGCTAACGTACATGTGGAAGGCACTCTACAAACCAGAATGCAATGAAAACGACTTCGTAAATACTAAAAACCAAGCCGGAAAAAAGAAAAAAAACTGGTAACAAGGCAGCCAATACAAAACGACTACAAAACTGTTTGGGACTAAATGCTTGCTCAGGGAAGACGAACCGAAATCCAAGTCGATGCACTCATGCGTTTACTCAATAGAGACCTTTAGATTCGAGGACAAGAACAACTAGGAGGACGAAATTTGACGGCTGATAGCTTCCGCGTGTATTCTCAAAAGATAACCACCCCAGAAAGCTTCATTGCAAGTTTTTTCACCAAATAAGTTAGGACTGTTATCTTTATTGAAGGAGGTTAACTGAAGTCCTTTTCCGATGTAAAATTCGTTTACATGTTTCCGTCATAACAAAATCCTCGCTAAAACGCGTAGTACAATGAGGACGGCTACCACGTTTTCCCGCTAAAATGACGCTGGTTCACGCACGCTCACAGCTACTTAGTATTGAGAAAATCTCGTACTCGCAGTTGTACTCGTCTTAGAATCTAAAGATGTCTGATATAACTGGGCAGCTACGGTTAATGTACTTACCAAGAACTTCTGCCAGATCTGGCACTCCATAGAATGGAATAGTAGTAGACATTTTGTGCAGCTCTAGCTTGGTCTCTCCACTCTCTGAATCTATTTCAAGGGAAAAAATAACAAATCTTTAGTCGCGATTGTAACAGACAATTTTTGAGAAAGGAAGCGATGCCATAGGCGTTTCCTAAAAGGTCAGCAGTTGAGTGTAGAAGATGACTTCAAGCACCTAAATTGTACGTGGCTGCAGGGACGCCTACATTTTAGAAGCCGAAGAATACAGCCGTTTCTGGCTCTTCGCCACTAGGAAGAAAACTGACTAATCCTGGCTGGTAACCTGCGTCACAGACCAGTGACGGATCCAGACCTTCAGATGGGCGCGGGGGATCACCCAGACTTTGACATAAGGGGGGCACGCTCTCAATTTTTTTTTCGGCCCTTCGGGCCTCATTTCGGTCTAAAAATAAGGGAGGGGNGGGAGTGGCCTCTCCCCTGGATCCGCCACTGCAGACGGACTCTATGAATTACCGGAAATGCGTTTCGAACTCCCCTTCAACCTGGTTGGCAAATTGATCATAGCTTTTTTAACAGGCCAATCATAGCAAGACCAGTCACGAACAGTGGTAAAGAAAATCCCTTTATTAGTCAGGAATGTCTTGCAGATCAGCCTATTCAAATTCGAGCACAGGGCAGGGGTGATCTATTTGGCCAATACTTTCCCAAAAAGACTTTTGCCTGAGTATTATACACATATACTCCTGTGGATCGTATGGAAACATTTTTGGATCAATGACGAGACGATCAGAAAGATTAGAGGAAACCGAGCTGAAGTCACTTGTTCACGACTACTTCCCACGATTTTACTCACCATAAGGGTACGTTACCGTACATTTTTCAGGTGCAGTTTAGGGTTCGACAAAGAACTTTAATTCCAGCTTGTCATTTGGACATGCAGCTCTCGACCTTTGCTTTTCTGGGGCCATTGCTCACTTGTCTAAGTTATTGATTTACGGTAGAACCCCGACAACTCGAACTCGGATAACTTGAACTAGGTCCAATTTCCCTCGGATTTCACCCCACTTTTCAGTCATTTTTAACTCGGTTGACTCGAACTCGGATAACTTGAACTACTAGTCCAATTTCCCTCGGATTTCACCCCACTTTTCAGTCATTTTTACTCGGATAACTTTAACTCGGATAACTCGAATTAAAAAAGTCACTGGAAATTACCCCGATAACTCGAATTCTGGTTCCTGTAACTCTACTCGCATGCCATTCTTTTAGCTGTTCTTGTTACACAATCAGAAAAAAGAAAAAAATCTAACACTGGCTAACACTTAACAGCGATTTGATTTTAACTGGTGCAACGAACAGATGACGTTTAATCATAAAAAAAAACCTTAATCATGTTACCGTTTCTGATAAATAAGTTAAACTTGCACTGCAGTAGCACAATACACTGCCGGAGGTGCTGAAAAATCAGTAACTATCAATTTTTAACACTGAAAATTGAATTTTGGAATCGAACCCAATAACTCCAACTCTCGCTAAGTTGAACTGTTTTTCGCTTCCCTTCAGAGTTCGAGTTAGGAAGGTTCTATTGTAGTTGCTAAGTGATTTGCTGATTGGGCAAGATAGAAACCTACTTGACTAGCAAAGAAAATCGAATAATTGTTCCGGACCACCGGAAAGGAGTTTTTCGGGCCCTAAATCTGCACAATTCAAGGGAGAGCATTGCAAATTTAGATTTACCCCATTTTTCTAGACTTTTCAAGGTCTAGAAAACTGGTTCGCCGCAAATTTCACGACTCCCTCACGAATTCAACACTTTGAACGAACCCGGTAATGCACACTTACCAGTCTTCAAACAGACGTCAAATCCGTTCGCAGTTAACCGCTCGTCGTCAATAAATCTAACATAAATGTGTATGAAAAGATTAGTTTTGAATCTTGCAGATCAAAAATCTTCCATTTTAACACCGTACTACACTTCAGACTCTCGTAGGAGCACATGTTTTGTCTCGTTTCTTTGTGGTTCTGAACCACAAAAGATAATCATAAGTTTGTTAGCCTGCTCTAGGCGTTCAAAGGATTGTGGGAAGGGCACAAAAAGCAGGAAAAACAGTGACGGGTGGGGTAGGGGGTGAGAGCGAAGGAAGCTTCCTCCTCTCTCCCTCTCCCTTTATTCTTTCTTATTTTTTTCCCGCTTCCACTATCTGAACGCCTGGAACAGACTATTTAACGAAAGGTAAATGGCTCAGTGTGTACTATTAAGTTATAGTTGCACGCGGGAAGTTACTAAGCACGAAAGAAGCGCGCTAGCTTTCGTCACCATTCACTCACGAGCAAATAGCAAATGGGTAATTGACCAATCAGAGAGCGCGCTTTACTTTGTTATGTAATAAAAGTTTGTAGAATATGGCCGTCTAGGTAGGGATAGTCAAGAGTAAGACTTATTGGTAATGACTGATATTTCGACAACCCGTGCAGAAGTCATCATCGAGATCAAAGTGAGCGGTGCATCGTCAGTTGATGGTACAGACTGTCAGTGGCTTCTTATCAGTAATCAACTGAAAGTGCCACAATGATATACAAAAGAACCGTAAATGAAACCATTATGCGACCATCTCCATCAAGCCACCGCTGCCACCTTTCGGCCTCATCATGATCACAAAGGGAGTTATCATACAGTATGTTTGGATTTTTCAAAAGAAATATGAAGAAACACACACTTCAAGATAGAAGGTGATGACAGATTGTTAACCAGTAATACCGCTACCGTCGCGTGTTTGAGCGGCAAACCTCCATCAAGCGGCCACCTGACGGTATCCCGAGGGGGTACCCCGAGGGTGGCCGCCTAAAGAGGTTTTAACTGAATTCCCTCTTGAAGAAGGGATAAAATTGGTGGTTATGTTTAAATTTAAGTAAGTCAAGATCTTATTAGCTGTGAAGGCCCTAGCCTGTTCCAGGCTCTCAGATAGTGGGGCAGACGCGAAAGAAAAAGGCGTGTTTGCGCTTTCTCAATTCAGCGAACCCGACTATCTCGGAGCCTGGAACAGGCTGTGAAGGCCCTAAACTGAAAACACGAAGGAAATAACCACCAAATTTATCCCTTCTTCATGAAGGAATTATGCTAATGCATTTGTACCTTGCTGTATTTGGGGGGTCACACTTGCTTCTCATGCCAAGCAGTGTCTTCCAGCATTCAGGACCACCAACAATTCTTGTAACAAGAACAGAAACGAACAGACTAACTATTACGGGTAACATACATTGTACATGTATAACAAGAATATACATGTACTCTAAGCAAGGGCTGATGATATTAAGTGATTTAACCCGTGGGGGTGGTGGGTGGGGGAGTAGGGTACTTGCTCTGGTCTTCTTATGCAGTGGGAACTGAGATTATCTGGTTCCCTTACTCATGTCGTCTGTGTGGCTGGCTAAATTATTATGCCTCAGTACTTTCTTGGCAGCTGAGCAGCCATGCAAAGCAAGCAGCGGAGCCGCGAGGGATTTTCGCGAATTTGACTTGTTCCCAATCTTCTCGTGGCTCCGCGGCCAAAGAATACAACACTTGCCCGCTAATCCTGTCAGATGCGCAAGCTATTTTAAGTAATGATCCGGGTAAGGTAGATAGCAATTTCTTTTGTTATGCGGCAACGGTGCTTTCCCCACATAGGAATGTTCTCATTTTTATACAGAGAATGCATAAACCTACATGAGGCAGTTTACGCAATAAAATGCATTTACTCTCCACTTTGAAAGGGTATTTTTTTGTGTTAAAAGATATTGACCAATCACAACAGTTGAAAACAATAGCCGAGAAAAGTTTACAATTTTACATGTTCCCCACATAGGATTTCTTTGTTATTCAAACTGAGACCAGATTNGTGTTTTTTTGTGTTAAAAGATTTTGACCAATCACAAGAGTTGAAAACAATAGCCGAGAAAAGTTTACAATTTTACATGTTCCCCACATAGGATTTCTTTGTTATTCAAACTGAGACCAGATTTTGTTATATGGAAGATGGTTGGAAAGTACTGCTTTATGGAGTTTTGTGAATTTTGCTGTTTAAGCCAATCAGAAGTAAGTACAGACAATAGAAAAGTTAGCACCTTTTTTGCATTCCAATATGTTCGTTGCCGTTGTTGCTATCGTTCTTATCTGGACCGTTTCTTAACACTCATGATACTACTTACACTGTAAGTACAAAATATAGAAGTTTACAGAATGTTTCTAGTGAAATGCGCAATAGTTTTAGTCTTCATAAATAGAAATAGAGATCTTTAGATTCCAAGACAAGGACTACGAGTACGAGAATTTCTCAATACTAAGTAGCGCTCGCACGTGAGCCAGCGTCATCATGGCGAGAACAAGTGGTAGCAGTCGTCATCCTACTACGAGTTTTAGCGAAAAAGCCGTCGTGGCGAAAACAAGTTATCAAATGTTAGAAGTTTTATTATTTTGCGAACGGGAGAGGGCTTAACCTCCTACAATAAAGATAACAATGCCAACTTTTCTAGTGAAAAAAGGTGCATTTAAACATTTTGGGGTGTCTATTGTTTGACAATACGCCAAAAAAAAAACTTAAACTCAGATCTGTGCTCGTACTCGCGCTCGTCCTCGAATCAAAAAGGTCTCTAATAAAGGGTTAGTTACAAAAGAATCTGTAGCCTGCGAAAACATCCGTTTCTCCTCGCTCTTCGCCGCTGGGGACGTTTCGCGCGGAGGAACGTCCGCGCCTCAGCGACAGAAATTCCATACTGATGACGTAAAATCTGTCCGGAATCCGGTCAGAAGAGACGATTGGTCGACGGAGTAGTTAGATTGTTTTAGTTATTGTTTACGAATGACAGACAAAAGACAAAAGGCCACAAAGGTCAAATGTAAACGCGAAGAATCTCTAACAAAACAGTCAATGTTTGTGGAAAATAGACTTCTCTAGAAGAAGCATTTGAAATTTGCTGGAGCTCGTTGGCAGATGAACACAACACTTACCAAAATGGACCAGAAGACACGTAAAATTAGACAAATTTATATTTGGAACCCCATGACTACTGGATTTATTACGTAAACATTGATTTGCTTCATCAGTATGGAATTTCTGTTGCTGAGGCGCGGACGTTCCTCCGCGCGAAACGTCCCCAGCGGCGAAGAGCGAGGAGAAACGGATGTTTTCGCTGGCTAAAGAAACTGCGGCACTGCATAATTGCACTGCACAACAACCCGCACAAAACTAAATTGGTTTTACAATCTGAGTTCCGCATAGTTTAGTTCATGCAATAAGTACTTGTGCTGTATATTCTCAGTTCTGCATACCTCTCATTTAAAGCAATTGGAGGATTCATAATTTCTTTGGGGAGGGAATGACATTCCATCAAACGTTGAAAAAGTAGCTGTTCTTGTATTCTGGAGTAAAAAGAAAACATGATAACTGTGCACTAGTTTAGGGGAGGTGTTTGTTAACCCTTTACGTCCCAAGAGTGACTAACATCAATTTTCGCCTAACCATATTATCACACCAACAAGAAAAAATGTGCTGAGAACTAATAAAAATAAATGATTTCCAATAGGTTCGATCTTTTTACCCCTTCTCTGCCAAATTAAGTCAAAAGCAAATTTCCACCTATTATCCAAATTTCATTTTTATTAAAATTTTGAAAAACAAATAGCACCATGTGTAGGTACAGGCAGAGAGCTTTCATTTGAATGGTCACATCATAGGATTTCGTCCGCAGACTCAAGAGTTAGAGTCACCTTAAAAAAACTCCATCAAGAACTCTGGCAGTGAAAGGATTAAAAATTAGTTCTCTCAACTCTTCATGGAAATATATAGAGATCAGTCTGGAGAATGTTGAGGTGTACACTGGGGCTAGAAAAGATACGTGAGAAAAACTCCCTAAAAAAAATCTGTATTTTCAGAAGACAAAGTGACCATGCAATGGCAAGGGAGTAAAAAACAAATGTTTTAATCATTTGATTTGTATAAGTCAATTTACTACTGTCAAGAAAGAGCTGGCATTTCAAGCACTAGCTATTTGTCAGGGTGGGTCCTTTAGTTTTTTTTGGCCTGATAAAGGACTGGTGCCTTAAATGTAGGCTTTTCAATCTTTTTATAGTGGTAATTTGAGTGAGTTTAAAACCAAAAAGAGTACACCCCTAAAAAAAAAAAAAGACAACAAGTCATTGCAAAAAAGCACTGCTTCTGCTGGTATTCAAACCTACATACCCCAAATCCTCTATTGAGCCCGGTGAGGGGCCTTATTTATTTCAAGCCCATTTGAGGCAGGGCTTAATAGAGACTTAGAGGCTTATTTGAGAGGGGGAGGCTTATTTAATTGAGAAAAGACGATGCTATCAGTTCTCCATAAAGAACTAGAATACACAATGTAAAAATTGGAAAAGCACAAGTACAAGGAGGTTGAAGGTCATGAAGCCGAGGATCAGAATCAAATCCAAACTTCCATTTGGTAAATAAACCATACCGGATCAGTTAACACAAATATTTTCAGTCACGATTGATTAATAAAGTCTACCATTTATTAGTGAAGAA